TCGCCGTTAAATTAATTAAGCCAATTTGAGCTCGATTAAGTTTGCACCTAATTTAATAAATTCAGCTTATTTGTAGTATTAATGGCGGGTTATTTCTCTTTTGGCATTTGCGAAGCGTTGTAAACGCCGGCCTGTATTCATTAACTGCAGCAATTGAGGGACGCTAAAATGAAAACAGACAGTGTGTGAATGCAACGGGATGATTGGAAATGGACGATAATATCATAAATATACTTGTAGGGTATGTTAAAGTAATATTTATTAATTTCAAGTAACTTTTTATCCACTCAAATTTCACATCGTTCTAGACGTACACGCAGCGAAGAAGAAAGCGCTAAAAGACTTTTAACGTCGAAAATCCTTGCCTTAAGCTTCCTAATACGGCCATTGATTTATTACTAACAGTAATGTGTTTAAATATTAGTTTGTAAGTAATGCTTTGCAGTGTGACGGTGGGTAAGAGAATTCATCGCCTTATTACAACTAATCAATCCCATCCATCCAAATTATGTTAGTTTGTCGGATTGTTCTTATCGGCAACAATGGGAAAGACAACAAATGGCTTATAGCTTGTGATAAAATGCGGTATACCCAAGGTCCGTCCATCGTCCGTACCATAGGGCGAACGGAGTACCCGCTCCAGGTGCCAAATTCCCATTATATATCTAATATATAAAATTCTCGTATCGCGGTGTTTGTTACCAAATTCCTCCGAAACGGCTGAACCGATTTCTATGAAATTTTGTGTGCATATCGGGAAAGGCTGAGAATCGGCCAACATCTATTTTTCAAACCCCTAAATGATAAGGGTGACCCACCCCTAAATATTTTTTGGCAAGTTTTTTTATTTTTATTTTATTATGATTTAGCATTAAAAAATACATAAAACTTTAAATTTTCACCCTTCTACGATCAACCCCTGTTTTTTAATCGCGATTTTTAAAAGTAAAAAATATTTCCTAGAAATAATGTATATGGCAAAACAACGTTTGCCGTCTCAGCTAGTATATATGTGTGTGTCGGGGCGGAAGCCTCGGGGTTGTTTTTTGGTGAAGCAGCACCGCTGTCCCCATTTAAAAAGCGCTGAGTTGTGCTGTCGCGTATTGGCTCCATTATAACCAAAAGGTCTAATCACACACTTATAATTTTTATTAAATCCAATTTCAAATTATAAACCGATAGAAAATAATAGGTTCCGCTTGCTACTAAACTTAATTTGGGTATTTAACTTTGGCTTTCAGCCCATAGTGTAGTCTGTTAAACCGAAGTAGAGTTTACATTGTTAACGCGTTATTTCAATTTTGTTTTCTATTCTCAATCTTGTTTCGGTTGTTTTAGTGCATTATTTTAAATTGTCTTTTTTGCAGTCGGGTTTTTGATTTTATTAATTATTTATTTTATTATTTAATAAGGTAGGTTACTTAGGTAATTTTAATAACAATAAACGGTTGTTTAAACGGGGTAACTTGTCAATAAAGAGATTTATAAACCAAAAGAATTTTATAGACAACTAGTTACATAATATGTTTCTAATAATTGGCTGTTATTTAATTGCAATATTAATAATTAGATACTATTATATAGAGATTGTTATAATAATTAAACGTCAGCGCAAAGTTTAGGCTTCGTCTACAGAAGATGTCCTTGCGGCGACACACACACATATATATATATATATATATATATATATATATATATATATATATATATATATATATATATAATACATATATATATATATATATATTATACATATATATATATTATATATATATATATATATATATATATTATACATATATAAATGTGCAAATAAGATTTTTGGAAAAATTAAAAAAGCATCCAAAACTCTTATAAGCGCTCATGTGTAAAATACTGCTTTTTCTTTAATACAGCATTGTATAAACTTTATATATAAAAATTACTTGTCACGTTGTTTGTCCGCAACGAACTCCTAAACTACTGAACTGATTTCAACGAAATTTTGCACACTGTGTGCAGTTTGGTCCAACTTGGGAGATAGGATAGTTTTTATCCCCAAAATTTTTTACTATGAATTTAAGGATTTTTTATATGAAGGGTCGTCGTAAAGGCCAGAATAACGTCTGCATGGCGAGCTAGTAGGCTATAGAATTCTAATGAACGACGTCATAGTCATGGCTATAAGAAATAGCCAAAAATCTTCTTTGCATATTTCTAAATCATTTTTTTTATTTATTTTATTTACACACACATACAACATACACAATCATTACAGGGTGAGTACCCTAATTCGACAGTGTAGCCAACGATTGTAACAAGCATTGCCCATTAGAGTAGTTGTTTACATCACTCCATTAATACTAAAGAGTCTATGGTCAATTCGTATTATACCTGTGAGAATAGTCGATTACGTTAAAGGGACGTCAAATATTGTCTGTGGATTAAAAGTTAGATCTTAACAGTCGGGATCATTCAGAGATGAGCCGCCGGAGTGACAAGAAGGTTTGTGATGATATATTATGTTATTTTGTTATACTTTAGCTTTGATTTAGTTTACTAGAAATAAATATTGTTATTGTATTGATTAATTCCTTTTATTTAGAATTCTATGATTCACTTTTAAGATAATCTTACATCTCAGAAGTGGGATTTACAAGACAATTTCTTTTGTGCTAAACCACCCCACGAGCTAGACCGTTGAATATTGATACTAAGTTTTATTTTATTTTTTTCGCTTTAACGAAAAATCAATGCAATAACAAATATATTATCAAGTTTGTAACTACTAAATGCGACAAGATATTAACGTGACCCACGATTTGTCCGATTTAACTAGATGAGTTCAAACATTTTTTTTTTGTTCTACCTTATTTTGTTTATTTTCTGATTAAATGCCTCACAATGTGATTAAAAATATTAATTTCCATTGGTGATATAGAGAAACTAACCATCAATAGCACTAAAATAAATTCGGCATGATCGCTAATTTTCGTGATGAAAATAGATTAAAAAAAATAGTGAGGATTTTACGGTTAAAATTAACGTATTGCTTAGTAAATATTTTTAATTACAATATGGTTAGAAATGTTAGTTTATAAAGGTATTGCAGTAAAATTAACCAACAAAGGTGATAGAATGGGCTGAGAATGATCAGCAGATTTGTGATGTTAGCAGATTAAAAAAAAATAATAATAATAATTTGGAAAATCCAAAAGTGCACACTTACTTACTACACTACACTACTACACTACTTACGTTTCGAATAATCAATTTACTTTTATTAATTACCAAAACGCGTAATTTGTTTAAAGCATAAAAAAATCTTGTTTCCTTTTGCTTAACGTGAAATCTATTTTAATGTTGATACTGGCGATTCGTATTTCATTAAATAAAGAGTCTGGAGAGAGAACGGGACAGTACAATAGTGAAATTCAAAAGAGTTTCTAAATCTTAAAATCTAAAGTAAAAGAAAAAAAATCAAAGTAGTTAGTTCAATTTTTCCGAAAGATATCTTGTATAAAAATACATAGGCTGCACTAGAAGTATCGGGAATGGAATATTTCCACTGTTCCTGTCATATTAATTGTTTTTTTTAATTGAAAAGTCCTTGGTTTTAAAAATAGAATACCATTTATTTATTTAAATAAAAGATTCTCGGTCTTATCACAAGGTTTTGTCAAACTTGTTTAGTCGTTGAGAAAATGGAATTGACTCGAGAAAATTCAAGAGCGATGATTTATTATGATTTTCGAAGTGGTTTAACACAAAACAGTGTGTTGACTGGATGATTTCTGCATTTGGTGATGAAGCACCATCCAAAACCACAATTTATCGCTGGTTAGCTGAATTTCAATGTCAAGCAGTCGTTCAGTCATCCAAGAAAACGTTGATGCTGTGCGTAAGCTGATTGAGGGAGATCAACATGTGACACACCGCGAAATTCAGGCAACTTCAAACATTGGCATTAGTCAAATACAATTAATCTTGTATGAACAATTAGGTGTAAAAAAAAGTTGTTTTCCCGATGGATGCCGCATTCGCTCTGTGAAGAGCAAAAAGCGGCTCGCGTTACTTGGTGCATCAGAACTCTCGAAAGATTCCACGCAGGATCCTCAAATGCTGTGTACAACATCGTATCAGGTGACGAATCCTGGATATACGCGTACGAACCCGAAACAAAAAACCAGTCACGAGTTTGGGTGTTCGAAAATGAGTTAATGCAGAATGGTATGCTAGCATTGGTTTGCCATAGGTCGTTTCTGAACTCCGTAAAGAGAACTGCAATCGCCGCATCATCCTCCATCACGACAATGCGAGTTTTCACACCGCACACAGAACAAAAGAGTTTTTAGAGCAAGAAAACATAGAATTATTAGACCATCCGCCGTACAGCCCCGACCTAAGCCCTAATAATTTCTATACTTTCCCTAAAATAAAGAATAAATTGCGTGGACAGAGATTTTCATCACCTGAAGAAGCTGTGGACGCCTACAAAACGGCCATTTTGGAGACACTAACTTCCGAATGGAATAATATTCTACTGACGTCCGGGTGAAGTTATTTTCAATTAACTTTTTTTTTAATAATAATCGAAATAAATAATCTTATAACTATGTGCGTCAGAAGTATTAATAGAAATATCCTCTTGCTATTGGCGTCCTTTCTTTTTAGTTATATAAGTGCAAATAAAGCTGGTGGAAGTGAAGTCGAGTTGATCGCGATTTTTTTTGATTTGATGGCAATAGAGCACTAAATCTCCGATTCGCGTTCGATGTGTGCAAAGCCTTAGTTAGTAAGCGATGACCCTATTACATTATAGGTTCAAAATTTAAAACATTAAAATTGCAATTGGCAGTAATAAAATAAACTTTAAAATACCTCCCGTTATTGAATGAATACAAATTGAGATTTGTTCCTTCTTATAGTTATATACATAAAAATTATTTCGAGTTCCAGGAAAATGAGTGACAAAGGAGCCGAGGTGAATTCCCAACGCGCTCATAGTTCATGTCGCACCAATGAGCGACAGCGGTTATACAGCGAGACATTCCAAAGCCGAGGTCGACATATGCGCGGGATCGAGAGGCGCAGTCTTAGCCGCAGCCGCAGTGATTATGGTGAGCGTCGGCTACGATTGCAGCGGCCTCGAGAACGCAATTCAATGCCGCAGTGCAAGTAGCACGCGTACGCTACGCGAGCAGGAACGCAAGCTGTCACGAGAGAGGGAGAAATTAAGGACGCTTGAAAAGAGGTACGTAAAGAGCGTGAGAGATGGAATGAAAGAAACAGATCGTCCAGGCGGGTTGAGACGCCTGACCCTACTCCTGATTGGATAAATACTGATAATTTACGCACACATCGCGAACGTTCTGTATCCACACTGGCAAAAGAGATATGTGAATAGTGATGACAGTGATAACGTCAATAATGTGATAAAAACCTTAACTTATTACTATGGATGTATTTGAGGATTGTATAAAATTATTTAAATCAAAAGCAGGGGATCGTGAATCATTTTCTAACTCTACTTTAAATAATATTATTCCTGAGTATGATCCCATGTTAAAAGAACAGACAATTAACAATTGGCTTGACAAGGTGGACGAATGTTCTGAAATTTATGATTGGAGTGATAAGCAAACGATTCACTATGCCCTGCCCAAACTCGCTGGTCTAGCTAAGATGTGGTACCAGGGTTTACCCTCTATCAAGCATACTTGGCCAGAATGGAAAGTTATGTTAAAAGAATCATTTCCTTCAACCGAAAATTACGCGGAACTATTGACGAATATGCTTGCTAGGCGGGTACGTTCTGGGGAATCTTTTGAAATTTATTATTTTGCAAAATTGAATTTACTGAACAGATGTACGATATTTGGAAAACAGACAGTGGATTATTTACTCTGTGGGATTGATGATAAGGGGATTAGTGTAGGCGCTCAAGCAGCAAAGTTTTCCAAGCCTGAGGACGTACTTGAATTCTTTAAAATCATCAAATATCAGACTCGAAGTCAACCAGACTCTTAAGATTTCAATGGGGACAAACGTACTAGCGTTACAAAAGTCAATAACAATTCTACAAGGAACTCTAATAGTACATACTCTAGAAAAAAAACAGCAGTGTTAGATGTCCTGTTACATGCTTTAACTGTCAAGGTGTCGGTCACCCAAGTTTCAAGTGTCCTGAACCGATCGTAAAATGCACTAATTGTTATTTCTTGGGGCATGATACCTCTCACTGTCCAAAACTGAAGGATTAAAAGAATGTCTTTACTCCGTCGCCACGCCAAGTTTAATTGGAGAGGTTGAACGGTATAGCTGAACAATTTTAGCATCTTTTGGGACCATTGCTCACAGTAAGAATAAAAACATGTGGATGAACTTTTAAATAATATACAGTTAGGACTAAATACCACTTCTCATAACGTTATTAAGAAAATTCATACTGAATTTTTGTTAGGGAGAAGTGAAGTCTGAAGCGAGTGAACGGATAAAGAGAAATCAGGCGGCAAACAAGTCATAAAGTTATAGATATAGAAGTTGGTTGAGCAAATAGATGAGTTTGTGTGTTTAGCATGTGTATCTAACAGGGATGGTAGATATGATAAGGATATAGAACGACGAGTGAATGCAGGAAATGTAGTAAATGGGGCTCTACACTGTATTGTGCAATTCACAATGCTGCGTTTGTCCCTATCTTAATGTATGGTAGTGAAGTCGGTTTGGAAGAAACAGCTCTATAGTAGAACAAATGCTGTAGATATGCGGTTATTAAGGAGTATGTTAGCGCCCGATTAACCTGAATGATAGGATGAGAAATTGTGTGATAAGAGAAAAGTGTGGTTTGCAAGATGTTGTGAACAGAATTAAAAAAGGAATGCTTCGGTGGTAAGGTCATGTAAAAATAATGGGCGAGGAAAGCGTAACAAAGTGTTGCAGAAGTAGATGGTAGAGTCGGGAAGGGACGCCCTAGGCAAAAGTTTATTGATCAAATTGGCGAGATATTGAAGATGGGCCAGATTAATAGTACGCTTAGTCAACGAGCATGTTAGTATGTACGCGTAGGTATATGGATGTGAAAGAGGCGAGAGCAGTGTGTCTGAATCGTACCAAATGGAAATCCGTAGCCCCTGTCTAACCCTTTGGGTGACAGGTGTGTGTGTTTATATACTATGATTATATAGAGGGTGATCGCGTTAGGATAGCAAAGGCGAGAGTAGCGGCACCGGGTCAGAAATAAAGGTGCTGTTGGAAGTTAGGTTCTGTGTCAGGGTCCATATAGGATTTAAAAAAGGGTCCTCCCAAATTACTGGTTCCTTGTAAAAGACACTCCTTTGACGAAAAAAGAAGTAAAGTATGAAACAACTGTTACCATGATAAAAGAAATGACAAATATTCCGATGGTTGAATTTCAATATCTCTGCTTGCTCTTCCAGTGAAGACAATGATAGTCAAAATGATAATATTTGTAATAAAGACTAATTGAACCTAAGTATATAATTTGATTATTAATATAAAATGTCTAATAAAGTTATATATTCGTATCATAACTGAATCGTATAAAATTTGCTGATTCAAAGTTAGTGAAAGTAGTAGAGATATAATTACGTATAAATAGAACAAAAATTAGGACACAAAATATATTTTAGTTTAGCTACATGTTAGGCATAATTAAAATAAAATAATTTTTATTTGTAAATTGTAATTTGTTGTCTTTGATCATTGACAGTGAGTTGAAGTGGTGTAACTCTCACACCACACGGCTATAGATATTGAGTGACGGGTATTAGAGTCGGGCAGGATTGGCGTATGAACTCGTCGCCCATGATTGACGTGAAGTACCGCAGCCGATGATGGTGTGTCGGTGAAGGAAGTAACTCTCACACCACACGGCTATAGATATTGAGTGACGGGTATTAGAGTCGGGCAGGATTGGCGTATGAACTCGTCGCCCATGATTGACTTGAAATACCGTAGCCGATGACGGAGTGACGGTGAAGGAAGTAACCCTCACACCGCACGGCTATAATTAAGATTTAGTGAGAATTTTGCGCGTCGGGCATGATTGACTTATGAATTGACCGCCCACGAATAGCTCAATTGTGATGTGACAGCATTGTGAGAGTGGAGTAAGTAGCTCTCATTTTACACAGCTGTAAAATATAGATATAACACATTGTACTATGGTTACCACTATTCATTAAAACTGTGTGACAGTTTATGTAAGTTTAGGGAATGTGAATTATTGTACAATACATTAAAAATTAAAACAGTATTATTATATCAACTTATATGCTAAGAAGAAACGAAGGGACTCGTTTTTGAAGGATGGCCGACTGTAACAAGCATTGCCCATTAGAGTAGTTGTTTACATCACTCCATTAATACTAAAGAGTCTATGGTCAATTCGTATTATACCTGTGAGAATAATCGATTACGTTAAAGGGACGTCAAATATTGTCTGTGGATTAAAAGTTAGATCTTAACAGTCGGGATCATTCAGAGATGAGCCGCCGGAGTGACAAGAAGGTTTGTGATGATATATTATGTTATTTTGTTATACTTTAGCTTTGATTTAGTTTACTAGAAATAAATATTGTTATTGTATTGATTAATTCCTTTTATTTAGAATTCTATGATTCACTTTTAAGATAATCTTACACGATACAGTATGATATGCCATTTTACTGAGCTCACTCAGCGAACATGAAAATAAATCAGTTCGCTCCGACATGGTGTTGATCATAAAATACATCTATATTTAATCATCGATAAAACCATCCAGCCATCTAAATATTTATCTTTTACCAAAAAATCTTAAAAAAAGAGTTGATAAATATTATGTAGCGACTGTCGCTTAACTATCGCAAACTGTGTGACGTGCGTCGATTATCCTCCCAAGCACAGTCTTTTGGTACGAGGCTCACAGCTGTTGTCAAGCGCTAGGCCGGGCATTCATTATTAATCTATCAGCACTATTAATTAGCGGGACGTAATTTGTAGTGAGTTTAGGAACCATCCCTTTTTCAACTCCAGCCAAACAAACTTACGCCAAAGGTTCGTACAAATTATGGTAAAAATATCAAGAACAAATCTTTACATTATGCTATCAGACCTGGTTAAAAGTGTAAGCCCAACGACAATTGAAAATAGACAAATCTTTATTTCGATAGTACACTTGATACGGTATTAATATCATTGGAACGAAGTTCCTTATCGAATGGTACGAATTTGGCGGATGGGGGCTAGGCGAGAAAAAGCGTATGATTTTTCACCCTTTTGACGTAGTGTAGACGGCCTTGGCGACTATAAGGAAGCGAGATGGAATAATATCCATCTACATCGCACTTTTTCTTATCTTGACATGAAAGAAATATTGTTTTAAATGACGCCTCCTTTTAATAGACGCTAGTAATTTATTTGTATTTCATAATCAATCATACAATACGTTTATCAATAATAATATACTACGAAAGAAACTTCGTTCCAACCGAGTGTTTCACGACTCTCACGCATGTTTTTTTTTAATATTAATATTATTTTATATATAGCTTACAACATACATAGCACTTACTTCAACATACATAATTACATTTAAGAATTTTAAGTCTAAAATTTAAAAGAATTTAAAGTCTGTTTCAATATATTACAGAAAACTATGCCTATTTATACCACATTCATATTACTATTTATTTATATTTTAAGATTAAAATAGTATCAAAAACTAGTAACTTAATTAAACTATTAATTTTGTACAAAAATGTTATATAGGTGGTTCTGTGATCATTAGTTAGAAAACGTTTACTCTATTATATTTTATTCTAGTGTTAGTGGCTTTTGTGTCTTTTTGAAAATGAGCTCTCTAAAAATATAGCTTTAAAATTAAATTAAATTAATTAAATATACACTAAACTACCTTAATAGCTTAATTATTATTTAATTAGCTTAAAGGTACTAAACTAACTTAAAAATGAAAAACCCAGCTAAGTTATGAGATAATTCTGAAAATAGAAGTTTTGTTTATTGTGAATTGTGTGTGTGATTTTTGTTTATTAGTTTATTGGTATCGTATCGGCGGCCTATTTCTATCTACCGCTGGTTTTTTGAAGTAACCTAGCACGGCTAGCATGGGCTAGGGACAAAAATTTATACCCCAATTATATCCACTGACAAGAGATAAAATTATCTTGTCCTTATGCCAAAGCATGGCAACGGGGAGAAGTATATTCGCGTTTGACATAACGTTTGACACATATCCCCTGTCCGTAGCATGGAGCCAAATGAAATAGAAAAAAATATACTTTCTTGACATTTGAAAGTTACAATTTTATCCCCGTTTATTGGACGTGGGTTTAAGTTTATATTCATACAAAAAATCTATTTAAGTGTAAGTCTATCTCCCATTTTATCTACTGTGGATATTACATCCACCGATGTACCCATGCTCGAAGGGTGGATAAAACTATACGAAGGGTTAAACATTTTCTCCATTCCTCGGGGATAAAATTCTCTTCTGCCCCATGCTGGCCCTGCAGGGAACTAAAGAGAGATCTATTTAGACATACATACATACATACATAAACACTCACGCCTGTCACCCAGAGGGGTAGGCAGAGACTACGGACTTCCATTTGGCACGATCCTGACACACCTCTCTCGCCTCCTTTACATCCATACGCATACACACTCGTCGGTTAAGGGTACTCCTAATCTCGCCCATTTTCAATATATCGCCAATTTGGTCGATAAAACTTCGTCTAGGGCGTCCCTTCCCGACTCTGTCTTTTACTTCTGCAACATATATTTGCTTTGTCACTCTTTCCTCGTTCATTCTTTCTACATAACCAAACCACATATGTATTTATCTATTTATATATAATAAATTTAATCTATACACATGCTACTAAGACACAATGCAAATATATTAGAAGAACCCTTAGCAGTCGAACCTCTATAATCAAATCTAGCTATCGATTTTCTCAATGTACCTATATTTAGAAAACAAAGAGCATACGGCTCCAATAAATTTATACTGCAATATCCGACTGATTTCGAATTGTGGTTTCAACTCCATTGTCAAGTTGTGTATAAATTCTACTTCAGTAAATGCTATGAGGTCATATTCATTCAGAAGACGATATAGAAAGGTTTTTCTTTTCCGGATAAATATATATTTAATACTAGCTGGTTTCGCAAAATATTAATGACAAAAATATCACTTGGAGAAAATAAATGTATTGATGTTTATATAGATTAAGGGCGAGAAATGAGCATACTGTCCTGTATTACCTGACGGTAAGTGGTTGCTATGGCCTATGGACATCTACATCTATCCCCAATTAAGAATTAAAATGTAGCGTTGTCACCCCTGAGAACTAAATGGAATGCCTCGTTTCCGGTGAAAAAGCTCTCCGGGTCTCTACACTCACCATAGGAAGAACAGTTGCAATAATATGCTGTTTTTCGCTTGTATTCTGTGAGAGCGTGGTCCTTCCTCGGTCGAGCCGACCTGTTCATTCTGCCACCCTAATATTGATGAAACGTAGTTCTACAACACATACAAAATTACAAACTACCACAACGCCACGTGTCACAAGTCAAGATTTTGTGATTTTCTTTTGGGCACTAAACCAACATATAGTGTAAAAGTATGAGTCACAGTACATAATTTGTTAACAACTTCACTACGGCGCTACCTGTCGAAGTTACGAGCTATCGTCGCTGCGAACCAATTACATATATTGTGTGTACATACAGAGTGAAAGTATTATTACTGGCAGACGCACTTTAAACGGCAACGATTGTATTATAAACATTAATTAGAGGATATTGGATAATAAATACTTTTGGAATTGTAATCAAATTATTTATTATCGCAGTGAGGAACTTACATTATTCTGTACTAGTTGCTCCCCGCGACTTCGCTCGCGTTTAACAAATAAAAGTAGCCTAAGTTACTCCTTAGAACATCAGCTATCTGCCAGTGAAAGTCCCGTCGAAATCGGTCCAGCCGTTTCGGAGATTAGCCGGAACAAACACACAGACAGACAGACCGACTGACAGACAGACAAAAATTTTAAAAATTGTGTTATTGTTATAAATACCGTATACATATGCATTTAGTAAAAAACTGTTATTTTAGCATTACAAACAGACACTTCAATTTTATTTATTTGTATAGATATGTAAAACAGACTTTCGATTTACATAATTATTATACGCATAGATTTTATACGCTGAAAATGCAAAACATTCAATAATTAAAGTGTAAATAAATGCTATCTTCAGTCTGAATAACATTTCTCCTTACAAATATTTAAGCGGTTGTCGTATGCGGGTACACAAACATCATTCACGTGAAATTAAAACACTAGTGTTTAAACGCTAGACTGTGCTCCAGGCAAAGTACACAACATCTTATCGACTTTGTATGAATACGCCGTAAAATTCGATTTCAATCTAGATACATAACGATAAATCATATGACATAAAGTGATAACTGCCATTTGAATAAAGAGTATTCTTAAAACTGTAGTTTTATTTTTGTTCTTTGGTCCAACGAAAATAGAAAATAAAAAAGTATAATAAAGTTATGAAATTAACAATGACTGGCCGGAGCGGAACAAAACTTTATAATATACAAGAAGAGGTAATTGCAAATAGACTGTGAGGTAATTTTCCGTGTATCTCAAAACTCATTGGAACAACGCGGCTAGCTTTCACTGCCAAAATCTTGTCAGGATTAAGAGGTATGCGCCCAGCTAGCTAC